AAATGGTTTTCTTGGTTTAAATACATAGCCTATATTCATTCCCAAGATTAAAAACGGCCAATTATGTATTCCGTGCCAAAATGTTCCAATCGTACAGTCGTGCCCGTGAGATGGTGACATAAATTCTTGACTTTCATATCATCAACGTTAACAATTCGTCAGTAAGGAAAGTAGCTATTGGCTGCGCTAAAAGTCGCTAAGGCGTCACTTAGCGACTTTTAGCACAGCCAATCACACATGTCAACTGAAAAGCCACTGGGTTCGGGAATCAGAGTTTACCATGAAGGGGGTGTGGTGGCCCAGCGCCAGGAAGCGAAGACCCAAACCGTGTAAAATATTGATCATGCCTGAAGAAAAATAACAACATAGCGCCACATAAACACGCTGGCAACGCGAATGAAAACGCTCATCATTGCAACGTCGACGGCCCTTGCGAGCATCCCAACAGGTTGCCGTGACGTCACCCCGGATAAAGGGCGGGGGGGAGGGTGGGGGCGTATGCAAATGCCGCGGCGCGCGTTTTTACCTGCCACGCCGGCCCACTGCCCAAACGCCACGATGCGATAGCCGTTTGCGTCCACCATCTTCTCGTAGTCGATCAGACGAACCTCCTGAAAACGCACAACGACAACGAGCGTCGGCAGCGGCATTGGAATGAATACAAGCTCGTCGCCATGGAGACTCAGCCTGTCCATAAACAATGGGCGTTTTTTTTTTTTCATATTCCTTGATTTACGCATGCAGGAATGAATGAACGAAAGCAAGTTTGCTTTGAAGCTCTTCACATTTACCACTTCGAACTTTTCAGATGCCTTTCAGAAAAATTGTCACCGGAGGGCCTCAAAAATGTTTTGGACTCGGCTTGTACTTTGGTCAACAAGCGGCCTTGCTTAGTTGTCAGCAAAAAATAAATCAAGAAAAGGGCGCCGCTCTGCTTTTTTGCCACTTCACCTTCTTGAGTAAGTCGTCCAGCAACCCCATGTTGGCCTCCTGCGCCTTGATGGTGTGCGAGAAGAAGGCGTAGGTCTTCTTGGGGATCACCTTCTCCTCGGGCGGCCGCTTCACGCCGAGGATAAGCGACGCCTCCGAGATGTCTTCCTGGATGATGGCGCCCGCTTTGGTGTAGTACTGAAAGGCGAGGAAGCAGGTGAACGAGCGCGGCCGCGAGACGGAGGCGCGAGTCAGTCGCGTGCGGTGCTGCCTTGTGAGACACTTGTCGCCCAAATCATCTCTCCCCATTGACAAAAATGGAAATGCCATTAATCCGTTCGAGCCAACCCCTGTTCTGGAGTAAACTCTCCCCCATCTGACCTTTTCGTGGATGGCCCTGCGGTTGGACGGCTGCACGAGGACTTTGATTCCGTCGTGGGTGAGTTCGCGGACGTGGCGAGGCGCGAGGGGCGCCCGCCGCTCCCACGGATTGATGTCCTCCCGCCGGATGGCTATGACGGCCCGGTGGTGCGTGTCACGCCGCTGCCCCGGCGAGCTGCTCAGACGCCTCCGGCCCTGGTGACTCAGGAGGCGAAACATGGCTTCTGCTCAGAAAAGAAAAGATGGGGGTGGGGGGGGGCAGAAAAGAAAACAGCATATTTTTGTCTGAGCTTTTTCTTTACCATTTTTTCCATCTACGTCCATGACTATGAGGAAGCTAGAAATAGAGAGCCAAGTGCTGAACAGGTATTTTTGCAAAAGAAAGCCTCGTTCAGCCGAGATTTTAAAGGACGTGGCGATGAGCGACTTGCTTCGGCGGACTCTGTTGTTGTTTGCTGTCACTTCTGCTTAGCGCTGTAATACTTCTTCTTTATTCATCCCAAAAACAAACTTTTAAATTTGTATTGGAATGATTTTTTCGGGGGTCAAAAAGAAAGAGAAATACAAATTGTTTTTCCCCATATTCTGACACTGGATGCTCCCGTATCTTATCCACGCTTACAACAGCTTGAACTAGCCCTGCGCTACACCATCAAATGCTCTCCAATTTTGTATTATTATGATACATTTATTTTCAAAATGGTGGGCTAACAGCGGTACAGTACTGGAAATATGAGGTCACACTTAAGGTGTCGCAGACCTCGTGTTTTCATGACTCAATTGCTGAAGACTAAAAAACACGAGTCGCGTCAGCGGCGTTGTCAGATTTACTCCAAGCCGGAACCTGCGTCTCAACCATTTGCGCGCACTGATTACGTCGCTGAGTGCGGCTCGCGTCCGTCAAGAAATTATAGGGAAGTGAAATTAAAAGAAGAGGAAGAATGAGTGAAACGTCGGTTGCTTTACCTTTCCTCGAAGGCGTGGGAGCTCCGACTCGCACCGGTGGGTGTCGGGAAACTCTCCCGGGTAACAACCCACGCTAAGCTAACTTTGTACGCTAACTTACTTGCACACCAGCTCGTCAGAAGCTCACCGAATCAAGAGCGGGCAGGAGCCAGCGGTTCAGATTTGGGAGCACGTGGAGGAACCGCGACGGGTGTCCGCGAACTTTTTGCAGATTTGCACAGTGTCACTCAGAGGTTAAAAGAGGTCATCACCAGCACGCGAACCCATCCTTTTCCGGTTACTATTTCAACATTTCAAAGAAAAACATGGCGTATCTTGGTTATTAAATATATGTTGTTCACTTCAGATCACCATTTCTGCTTGACTCATTTATGAACACTAAAATATATGGGAATATCTAATCTCTGTTCAAGTTGTTTCGGGGAATAAAAATCAGACTTTCTCCAATGACCCTACACTTTATTTTGAAGGGTGGGCAGAAACTAACACTTTCCGGTTTCGGAATGCCGGTAAAATGAGTGACTGGGAGCTCTTTTTTTGCTTGTCGGTTTTGTTATTAGAACAAATTGTACAAACATCTTGGCAGTTAACACAAGCCCGTACAATTAAAATGCGGTTTACAAGCCGCTAGCAACAAACGTTGCGGAAAATCCTGCATTTCAACACCCCCCCCCCACACACACACACACACACACACACACACACACACACACACACACACACACACGGGCTCGGCGTGGGGTCTGTTTGGTCGGTACTCAACCTTTTCCTTAACAGTTAACTGGATATATACATTTCATTTAAAAATTTAAAGTGTACTTCTTTTGTTTTACAACTATAACAAAATGTACAGTTCTGAATTCGAAACTTGATTAAAAATAATTTAACTCAAGTACAATTTGATGAAGATGGCAGAGTGTAACAATGGCGTCACTGGTTCTAAATTTAAAACAAAAACGTGAAAGATGACTCGTGAGACAGGAAACAACGGGATTGAGGGAAATGACAACAATGACATTTATTTAATTTAACCATTCAAACAAAATCAAACAGTGCCGACACTTGCTAAGGAAAACGAGGGCAGGATTCCTCCCACCAGGAGATTCAAGTACCAAGAACTAAATAGTTCCATCAACTTGCGGTGGGACTGCAGCTTTGAAACAGGAAGTCTTCTATGTGTTTGTTCATGTCATTGGACTTTTTGTCCACAAGGTCAGTAGTGTCATAAGACAGCCATGAATGGCATCATCCATGCTCAGAGTGTCTCTCCGTCACTAAGTCCACCAAGAAAGAGACGCCATTTTTGTCATAGAGTGCATTTGCACGACTGGGAGTGGACTGTGGAACTTGTCGGGGTGCGGAGGGGGCAAAAGATGACCCTACGAGGTAATCAGGTTGATAATTTTACATCAACTCAGTGCTGATTGGCAGTCGTGTCTCTTTGCGTATTTCCACCAGAGGGACGTTCCCCTGGAAGATCTGCGATAATTTATTGGGGCCAAAAGAACACCTTGCTAGAAGGGGGAGGGGGGGGTGCTTTTAAGAGGGCCAGGAACTTTGGGGGCAGGGTCTGTAAGATTGGGGCTGATTTGTTGGGAACTTTTGAGAGTTCCAAAAACAACAAGAAGAAAGGTGGAAAAGTTCCAAAAACTTTTTTTTTTCTTTTTTTTTTTTTGGTCCAAGGGACTACAAGTAACAGGAATCCAAATTTCCCGGAACTTTCAATTTTGAGGAAAAAGAGCCAGAACCAAGAACAACAGCAAGACTATTCTGTGTTTGGATCAGAATTGACTTCTGAAAGAAGAGCCTATGGGGAAGTGGGACTTTTAATAGATCCAGGAACCAGGAACAATGACACGTTTAGCTTAAACTAGTCCAAATTCCAAGGAACAGAAAACATTCTCTGATTCCTGAAATCAGACTGATTATGTTTTTTTTTTTTCCCCCTGAAATAAGACATTTGCAAACATCTGCTTTTACTTTGAAATCCACATGATAATTGCTTAAACACACTGGCCTTGTCTGGATCTTCTTCCATCCTGCGTTTGAGGCCTACAGAAAGTGTCGCCTGCAGGTTCATTTCATCCTGCACACTTCTGGGCGGGATTGATGGATTTATTTTATTTTTTTGCAAAAAGTCCCGTTTTGCTGACTGCAAACACAGAGGGGTCGGTGCGCCGCTTGTTTCAATCGTTTTCTCTTGTCGTTGCTCTTGCTCTCTCTCGGTATTTGTCTGATCTGTTTGCATCATTTTCAAGTGCGTTTAAAGGCCTGAAAATAGAATGATGAGAAGAAACGAGCCTCAGCGCAGAGCGCCGATGTGAAACTGGGAGTCGCCGCTTGGAATTGAAGCGGATTTACATGGGACGGGAGGTGTGAGCCATTCTTTTTTTTTTTTCGTCAACGGACGCTGCAGCTTCTTGTTTGCTTTCAACCTTAGCTTGCAGCAGACGTGTGCACATTTTCAGCATGACGTCTGTGGCCCACTGGTGAAAGGACACTTTGATTGGCTCCTCTTTCATTTAGAAATACTTCAAACAACAAAGTGTATGCAGAAGAATTGGTTAAGATTGCACGACTGTCTGTGTCTTATGTGTTGTGTTTTATCTTATTTTGTCATTTTATGTTAACTGTCCTGTTGATGGCGGCGCGGGCACCCGCAGCGGCTCCTCTCTCTCCTGTGGTTGAGAGGAAAAAAAATTTCATCTGTGCTGTATGTTGCACATGAAGCACATTTGACAATAAAGTTGACTTGACTTGAAAAATAATAACAACAAGTGCCGAAATGCTTCTCGAAGTATCTGCGGAATTGGACTTCACGCGGGGTCCGGAACCCCCCTTTTCCGCGATTGAGGTCGTATGACGGAAACCAAAGAAACGACGAGCGACCGTTTGTTGTTCGCAACGGGGGGCCGTCGCTTGAGAGCCTCACAGCTGCTGGGTGGCGCCGGGCGTCGGCGCGGCGGCGGCGGCCCGCTGGGCGCCGATGGCGGCGGCGTGGTCGTGCAGCTTGCGCACGTGCTTCTTGAGGTCGAAGTTGCGGCAGAATCCTTTGCCACAGGTGGGGCAGGTGAAGGGCTTCTTGTCGTTGTGCGTGTGCATGTGGAAGGTGAGGTTGTAGACTTGGTGAAAGGCCTTGCTGCAGATGGAGCACTTGAACTGCTTCTCGCCGCTGTGGGTCAGCTTGTGGTTCTTGTAGTTGCCTGCGGGGGGGGGGGGGGGGAGGGGGCGCACACAAAACAAC